CCTCCCAGGATGTGAAGTAAGAACCCTCAGGGGGAAAAGGAAGTGGGGGAGATCCCCCCACCACAGGACTAGTCTCTCAAGGAAGAGAAAGCCTCCTGCACTGTCTTGTTCTGTTGTGTCTAGTGCCTTCACATAGTGTGTGTGTGTGAGAGAGAGAGAGAGAGGGAGAGGTATGTTGTGAGAGAGAGGTGTGTTGTGAGAGAGAGAGGTGTGTGAGAGAGAGGGAGAGGTGTGTGTGTGCGAGAGAGAGGGAGAGGTGTGTGTGTGTGAGAGGTGTGTGTGTGTGAGAGAGAGGGAGAGGTGTGTGTGTGAGAGAGGTGTGTGTGAGAGAGAGGTGTGTGTTTGAGAGAGGTGTGTGTGTGAGAGAGAGGTGTGTGTTTGAGAGAGGTGTGTGTGTGAGAGAGAGAGGTGTGTGTGTGAGAGAGAGAGGTGTGTTTGAGAGAGGTGTGTGTGTGAGAGAGAGAGGTGTGTGTGTGAGAGAGAGAGGTGTGTGTGTGAGAGAGAGAGGTGCGTGTGTGTGAGAGAGAGAGGTGTGTGTGTGAGAGAGAGGTGTGTGAGAGAGAGGGAGAGGTGTGTGTGTGTGAGAGAGAGAGAGTTGTGTGTGTGAGAGAGGTGTGTGTGTGAGAGAGAGAGGTGTGTGTGTGAGAGAGGTGTGTGTGTGAGAGAGAGGTGTGTGTGTGTGTGAGAGAGAGGTGTGTGTGTGTGTGAGAGAGAGAGCTGTGTGTGTGAGAGAGGTGTGTGTGTGAGAGAGAGGTGTGTGTGTGTGAGAGAGGTGTGTGTGTGAGAGAGAGGTGTGTGTGTGTGAGACAGAGAGAGTTGTGTGTGTGTGTGTGAGAGAGAGAGAGGTGTGTGTGTGAGAGAGACCGAGAGAGGTGTGTGCGAGAGACAGAGAGAGGTGTGTGAGAGAGACAGAGAGGTGTGTGTGTGTGTGTGTGAGAGAGAGAGGTGTGTGTGTGTGTGAGAGAGAGAGGTGTGTGTGTGTGTGAGAGAGAGAGGTGTGAGAGAGACAGAGAGAGGTGTGTGTGTGTGAGAGAGAGAGAAAGAGACTGTGCATACTGACCAGGATTTATAATTGTTGACTATGGAAAGGTTTACCTGATTTCAGCTACTCCACCATTCCAGGGAACAAAGCTGGCCCAGTTAAATGATTCTGACTCATAAATATCATAAAATTTTGCTATCACTCTATCTCCTACAAAACAAATAGGTAGGGCCGGCGCCATGGCTCACTAGGCTAATCCTCCGCCTGCGGCGCTGGCACCCCAGGTTCTAGTCCTGGTTGGGGCGCCAGATTCTGTCCCGGTTGCTCCTCTTCCAGTCCAGCTCTCTGCTGTGGCCCGGGAGTGCAGTGGAAGATGGCCCAGGTCCTTGGGCCCTGCACCCGCATGGGAGACCAGGAGGAAACACCTGGCTCCTGGCTTCAGATCGGCGCAGTGTGTCAGCTGTATAACCATTTGAGGGGTGAACCAACGGAAGGAAGACCTTTCTCTCTGTCTCTCTCTCTCTGACTGTCTAACTCTGCCTGTCCAAAAAAAAAGGTATAAAGTAAGACAAACAGGAGCCCCAGAACTATTATATAGAAGGGATTTGGGATCTAGGAAATGGAAGCTCTGTGTACATGGTAAGCACACCGCTTTAAATAAATGTATATTTATTTGGAGTGGGTGGTGTGACGGAGACTTGGGGAACCGTATCAGGGAGATCAGATGACGAAAGTTCCCCATTCACTCTGGCAGACCATTGCCCAAGTTTTCTGAAAAGTCTTATAGCTAGAAGACCAAGAAATAGTACTGACAATAAGCAAGAACCATAGCATAGATTCTGAAGAAAGAGTTGGAGTGAGATTAAAGTTAGGCATATTAAAAAATAATAATAAAGTAAGGTATATTTATATTCACTGTGAACAACCAACATGGATGCTAGCCGAACAAGTTGTCAGATGTTGGGCAACTTATTTTCTGTGACATCTTTAAGGCTTGCTACAAGTAACAGTACTTATCAGTAATTCCAAGGAGACGGACAATCTATGAGGACTCCGCATCATGTTTCCTTTTGGTTCTATGCCATCTCTGTAGGGAAGCATTCCCTCGGGGTTATGCCTAGGTTTTCCTTCATAGCACTTACTGAACATGGAATTAGATATCCTGTTTTTTTAACCTTCTCAATGGAATGTAAGCTTTAGATGGGTAGGGTCCTAGTTCTCTTGTTCACTGCTATATTCCTAGAGATTAGCACTTGTGAACTATATTGCAGGCTTTCAACAAATATGACATTCAACATAAACAATGCCACAATTACAAGCAAACACCCATTTCAACTCTATATTCTATCAAGGACCTGAAAGCCAGGCTACAGGCTACTTCTTTTTTCCCACGCCGCAAGGTAACAGATCCTTAAATTGTAAAAAAAATACAAAAAAAATCCAAAGAAAAGGGACACAAAGTAGGAGATGCAAAAACTGACAACAGTGTTTAAGCCAGATGCCAGATATGGGCCACCATTTAAGACTGAACGGAGCGGATTGGAATGGGCGGGTGGTTAGCCCAGCTGTTAAGACACCTACATCCCACATCAGAATGCCTGGGTGTAGTGCAGCTCCCTGCCAATGCAGGCCTTGGAAGGGCGCAGTGATGGCCTAAGTCTCTGAGCTCCTGCCACCCCCAGGGGAGAGCCGGATTTATTTCCCAGCTCCCAGCTGTGGCCTGAGCCAGCCCAGTTCCGGCTGAGGCAGGCACTGAGAGTAAAGGAGCTCTTTCTTTTTGTGTCTGTCTCTCAAATAAATAAAATCTTAAAATAAATGTATTCTGAATTAATCATTGCAAGTCACACTCAGGGGAAAGTGTGCCCATCTTTTAAAGTGGAGAATGCAGGCATCATTGCTTTTCAACCAGGCTGATTCAAATGTGCCTCTGACCCACTCCATTCAAGCTATAGGAACCTTCTTGGTTTCTAAATACCTTTTTTGAAATACACAGACCATTCAAACCATTGACATCTCTTTGGTTTATCAGGTCTATTTGGATTGTTTTTAATTTAACACCCAGAATGTTCAATTACATTCAATCCAAGTAGAAAATTTTAAATACAGTATACAACTTGTAGGTAACAAGTAGCACAAAAAGATGATCTGTATTAAGATCAGCAAACAATACCAGGTTTTTCACACATTAGCTCAATTGTAAGCCTCCTTTGAGGTATTATATTACAATTTACATAACAATAACCTCTCTAGTTCAGAGAGGTTAAGTGACTTGGGTCAAAGTCACACAATTAATAATGATCAGGTGTTTTGTGTAGGAGTCCTGAGTTTTCCATAATCCCATAGCTCTCATGAGTTATGGGAAGGAGCTCTCTGAACGGTCGAAGGCCAGGTGGAAAAAACAGTTTACCGTAGGTGTTACCCAAACACGTATACACATGCCACTCTAGTCCTCCCTCCCAAATATGAAGCCAAATAGATGGCCATACTTTTAAGAGTGAGTGATCTGACCAGATCAGGCTAAATTTACTCTTGGACGATGGTCAATGTCCAAGTTAGAAGTGTTTCGGAAGTTCCCAGACTCAACGGGAACATCTATCTATTTACAGACATGAAGGTCAAATTGTTTAAGCTTTCGGTTTCTTACCAGCCCGTGGGTCACAGAAGGCCGGTAAAAGCATTTGGGCTGGCCTCGCCAAGACAGCGCAGGAGGGACACAAAATTCAATGCATCCGCAGCAGGTTCACTTTTTTTTTTTTTTTTTTTTGACAGGTAGAGTTATAGACAGTAAGAGGGAGAGACAGAGAGAAAGGTCTTCCTTCCATTGGTTCACCCCCCAAATGGCCGCTATGGCTGGCGCTGCGCCGACCTGAAGCCAGGAGCCAGGTGCTTTTTCCTGGTCTCCCATGTGGGTGCAGGTGCCCAGGCACTTGGGCCATCCTCCACTGCCTTCCCGAGCCACAGCAGAGAGCTGGAATGGAAGAGGACCAATCGGGACTAGAACCCGGTGCCCATATGGGGTGCTGGCACCACAAGGCGGAGGATTAACCAAGTGAGCCATGGTGCCAGCCCCCATCACTTTTAAGTTGTTCATTTTTATGGCCCTCCTTAGAAAAAAGGCTCCAGACCCCGCAAGAGGCTCTGGTTGCCATATTCCACATCTTCTTGCTCTCACATCCTTCTTCAGACACCCCCCCGACCCCTTCCTCTAGCCCCCACTGGTCTTAGCTCTGCAGGCAGAGGCCGTGCCCAAGTTCTACTCTATCAAATCCAAAGTAAAGCAGTGTGCGACGCAGACCAGAAACATCAAAACCACTCTTCCTCTTGCAGGCTGCACAGGACAGATGCGGTCCCCCACCCCCAGCACCAACTCCACTGAGGAGGAAGTTGGCAGAGAGCCTGCGACTGCTCGCTGAAGGAAAAGGAACTTGCTTTGCGTCCGGGGCCGTCTTCACCAGTGGTAGCCACCACTCGGGGCTACTTCTCAGCCTTGAATCCCCACAGGTGCAGACCGGCACAGGACCAAAGGCCGCTGAACACCTTCCGGCTCACAGCCCATTCCTGGGCTTCGGATTCTCTAGCCTCAATGCCTGTGCTCAGAAGATCATTCCAGCTTTACCTGTTCTATTTCCAGACCTGGGCTCTCTGCCGTCTTCACTCCACCCCTCCCAAGCTGACTCCTCTCCTTCCCTGAACCAAAAAAATAAATAAATAAATAAGACTTCTCGAACCCCACCCTACTGGGCTAGGTCTGCATCTGCAACCCACTACACGCGCGCACGAGCGCAAGAGCTCAAGTTCAAGTTTCCGGCAGGTTCATCGCCCCTTCCCGGGCACTGGACGTCTCGGCCACCGCCCTGGCTCCGCCCCTCGTGTTTGGGATCCTGCTCGCAGGTGGCCTGCCCCGCATCCTCCAGGTATCTCCGCCGGTGTCAGACTCCCAGCCCCTGCGATGCCCGCAGCTCCCAGATCCACAGCTCCTGCCTCCGACTCCCGCCCCCCTCAGACGCACGCCCCTCACCTGGATCCGCCTCGCCGCGCCGATCCGCGTTTGCTGCACGAAGGGGTTGGGCACTGGCGGCGGGAAGAAGGACGCCTGGCGGGGCACCATGGGTGGCCGCAGCCCCGCCTCCCCGGCGCCCGGCACGGTGGCCGCCACTGCTGCCGCCTCGGCGCACCGGTTCATGGTGGAACCGGCCGTCGGATCCGAGCAAAGCCACAGGGACAGAGCGCGCAAGGCAGAGTCCCAGCCCGAGGCTCCGCTCCGGGGCCTCTGCGCAGGCGCCGGTTACCTAGATGCCGGCAGCTGTCGCCCCGCCCCCAGGCTCTAGCTCCACCCTTTACTTATCTGACTCCTCCTCCTCGGCTATATAGCTCCGCCCCCCTTGGAGGTGAATGCTTTTGCCTGGGACCAATGTCAACTTAGCATCCCTAAGACTCCGAAGAGAGCCACTGAGGCCGTTCTCAGCTTTAGGACCAGGCAGACTGGATTTCCAATGCATTTTACTGGTTCTGCGATGCTAGCCAAGTGGCCATCTCCATGGACCTCCCCACCTCCTTTAGCAGATGGTAATAAACACAACTGGGATAAACACAGCTGGATCCAGCCACGCCAGGAGCATCCACTCCCCCTGAATTCCTGCATCCTGGATTCGTGTTACCAGTGCTTGATTTCAAGTGTGCTTTGTCAGGGAGCAAACCAGTTCGAGCTGGGTGTGCATTGTTTAGGAGTGGGAGTCCTCATATAGAAACTGGTGCAGGAGTGGGATCTGTCCCCCTCAAAACCTATGGACCGACGGGGGCGCACAGAGGCGCTTGAGCTGCTGTTCCAAGAAGGCAGACCAACAGCTGTGAGGAACCTGGCCCAAAAAAGGGAAGCGACTGTGGCGGGGGCTCCATTGCAGCCGGAGGAAGTCAGGGGCTTGTCTGGACCTACACAGATGGCAGAGGGGGGAGGGGCGCAGGAGCGGACCTGCCCAGAGTGAAAGGACAGGGAACAATCTGTCAGCAGGCAAGTGGCCAGGATGACAATCTGAGGCTGGAGCCTAAGACGGCTGCTCCCCCAAACTTACCCATCGCAGAATCTCCCAACCCTCCTGGACAGATGGGTGGTCTTGAGTTAAGTCTCTGAACCCCTCCGAGGAACGGCAGATTACCCCCTACACCATAGGGTTGTCGGGAGGAGTAAATAAACTAACACATGCACAGTGTAGAAAAGCACTCGACACGGCACCTTTTAATTCTCCTAACAGAGAACCTCAATAATATAATAATATTGTAGTCAGGATGGAAGCTTCCAGTCGGGGCTGGCAGACCATGCAGAAAGGCTGTCACTCAAGAACTTGAGCGCGTGGGCAGGCCAGCAGGCGAGAGAAGGCGATTGGGGACCCCACCAAAGTCACCTCCAGAGAGACGTGTCCATTCCTCACTCCTGTCTCCACCAGCCTCACCAGGAGGGGCCTGAGGCAACAGGCTATGCAACCTCAGAGCTGGCAGGGGTCTCTGAAAACCAACCACCCCCAGGCCTGGAGCAGCCCCTGCAGGATTTCCGTACGGGAGGGGATCAGAAGTGGGTAGTCTGGGAGGAAGGAGCAGGCGCTCACCCGCTCAGAGTGGCTGTTTACAAAGCAAGCACACTGTTTCTCCCCTGGTGTGTCTATTGCGGGGGCTGGGGCACGGCGGGGATGTGTTGCTGATGGAGGTTCTGGAGTACGTGGCTCCTCCTCTAGGTCATCCTTTGCCCTTGACCTAGACCCTGTCACCTAATAGCTGTAGGATCCTGAGCAAATCACTTCTCTCTGGGTCTCGCTAAGGCTCAGCTCGTACCCACCTCTTTCGGTGGCTGTACTGGCGGTGGCTGTTGTTAGCAGCAGCAGCGTAAGAACTGGTGTTGTGGAGGAAGAAACTGAGTCAGAGAGAAAGCAGAACTTGGGCAGTCACAGAACTGCTGCTGTCTTAGGGCTCCAGGGCTCGCTCAATCGTAAGGGACAAAAGGGACTCGGGCCAACACACCTGCACCTGTGGCTCCCTTGCTATTTAGCTTGGCAGCTCTGACCTTCTAGCAAGCATCACTTGTGTCCTGCAGGAAGCAGAGTCGGACGTTGTAAGTTTCTTCTTTGTGGGGCTATGGCAGCTCTTGGCTAACACGGATGCAAACACTGCCACTCAGCTGGTGTCTTTATTCACACCTGTTGACATTTCCCACGGGGAACGGTTTTGAAGGGACAGTGGGGAGGGCGGAGCAGGGAGCCATGACTGGATTTTCCTCCATCCAGTGGAGGCAGCGACTGGGCAGAGTGAACAAGGGAGCTTCGCTAGGCGGGCTGCGCTGCACCGTGCAGTGACTTCAGATGACCTGAGTCCTTGTGTCAGGAAATGCAGTTCCAAGTGGAAAATAAACAACAAAGTGCATACAAAGCAAACTGCTAACGCAGGGGAGGCTCTAAGGCAGCCAGCAGTGAGAAGCCAGGTGTCTGGGGTGGCCACCTGGCCGTTGCCCTTATCCCACTGCCCCATGCCAGGCTGTCGGGCACCCAGTGCCCTGCTGAGATAGTCCCCTGTTGGCTCCGAGGGTGCCGTGAGCCACCGAAGGATGTGGAGGGAGATGAGTCTCAAGTGTGGCAGCACCAGGGCAGCCCAAGGCAGGGCCGCATTGTAAAGACCAAAGTATCTCTTTGGGGGTGGCTCTGAGGGTTGACGGGATTGGAGGGAAGGGGCACCGGGGAGGGAACAGCCAGCACCTTCCTTGGCACAGGGTAGAGCCGCTCTCTGGAATCTTAGATTATAGGTGGGGGTGAGAAGGCTGATAACTACGGAAGTGCAGGGCGGCGGCCAGGCCCCCGGGCCGGCTCAGCAGCCCAGCCAGTCCGTCTTGATGCTTCCAACCTTCACGCTCTTCAGACTTTGGTTCTCGAGCTTCAGGTAATAAGTGCCCTTGAAGAAGTAGCTGTGACCTGAACACAGAAAGGAGAGAGTCTGTGACCACCCCATACCGACAGAGGGGAGGGGGCACAGAAGGTTCTAGAATGTGTCTGGTGTAAGCAAGAAGCCTTTAAACCGGAAGAGACCCTTCCAGGGTTCGAGGAAAGGAAATGGTGTGGAAGGAAGGCCTCTCGGTCCCTGCGTGCCACCTCTAACTGGGAGCTAACTTAGCGCTGGTATTGACTGTAATGACAGCGGCCTCCGGTCACACCGGCATCAGAGTAAACACTTTCCATGTCCCAGAGATGGCAAACCAGAAGGCTGCCGGCCCTCCGGGGCCCACAGATGGCTTTTACTTGGTTCACACACTTTGTTTTGTCTTTTAATTCTGATTAAGCTGCCAATATGTAAACAGCTACAAAATCACATGAAACAAGGGTTTCTGGCTTCTTTAAACATTAACTAGAGTATCTCACAACCCTGGGCCCCGATCCTTACAGGCCAGCAACTAGGAAACAGAGGCCCCCTGCAAATGAGCCATGCGCTATCTGGGTCACCACAGATGCCACCACTCCCTACCGCCTGCTTTCCTCACTAGTGCTGCCCGCCCGGCCTGTGGAGGCTTTGCCATGTGCGACTCCCGACTCACATGGTCCCACTGACTTCTTTGAAAGCCCTGGTACCCAGATGTTTATCCTTGAACGTAATCCTTAACCTCGCACCTGACTGTGCATGCTTTCTCTTGCACAGGTGAGATCTGGAGCCACGGGAGCTTTGGACTATGTGCGTGCCCTATGGCAGGGCCTCAAAAAACCTTTGTGGCATTGAGCTGACATCTCTTGTAAACAGCTGAACTCGACTCATTTCCAGGGCCCTGGAGAGCTCACAGAGCCCTCCTTGGGAACACGGTTTCCGACTGCCCCTCCCAGCCTTGTTGACACTGGATGCGCTTCGTTCACCAGGGATCAGGGAGCACCAGTCGGGTGGGGGATTCCTGGCAAGTGATCAGGATAGAGTGGCTTGCATAGCAGCGCATCCTTCTGCTAACGGGTGCCCTCCGGCAAAAAGCAAAGGAGCCAGGATCAGACCCAGCATGGAGCGAGGGCATGGGCCCATGCTCCCCGCCCCCTTGTCAGGGCCCCTCCCCCTCCCGGCCCTGGCTCCGGGCCCTGCAGCTGTGAGGGGCCCCTGCTGCCCAGGAGCCCGGAGAGGGAGCAGAGGTCGGGGGTCTGGACTCCTGCCCAGCACTGGCTGAAGGGCTTGGTTTGTTTCCCGGGCCGCGGCATGGCTGCCCTGCACA